CAAAAAGCTAAGGTGAATGGGGCAATTAAGGGGGATGAGAACTCAACTTTTTTCCATGGAATGTTGAAAAAGCGTAGACAACAAAAGTTGATCAGAGGTGTTTCTATTGACAAGGAGTGGGTCTCCGACCCAAGTGCAGTTAAAAAGGCATTTTTTTATTTCTATGCTAATAAATTCCAACCATTTCATGGTATTGCCTTGTCTAGGCGAAGTCAGAGATTTATAACTATTGATGTTGACTTAGCTCTTTCTATTGACTCTCCCTTTACTTCATAAAAAGAATAGTGTGGGATTTTGGTGTGGATCGTGCATCGGGCCCGGATGGGTTCTCTTTTCGTTTCCTTAGTCGCTTTTAGGAGTTACTGGGTAATGATGTTATTGATTTTGTGCAGGAATCCTTTTCTCGACCTTCTTTCCCCTTTGGATGCAACTTTTCATTTATTATGCTTATCCCAAAAGGTGATAATCCTATTCTCATCTCTGATTACCGTCCTATTAGTCTTACTGGTTTACAGTTTAAGGTTGTTGTTAAATTGTTGGCTAATATATTAGCTCTGGTGCTTCATGATGTCATTGGTTTAGAGCAATCGGCGTTTCTCAAAGGCCCTCAAATTTTGGATGGTCCTTTGATGGTGAATGAGTTGCTTCGGTGCTTCATGATGTCATTGGTTTAGAGCAATCAGTTCCAGTTGTTTAGGGGTTTGCATCAAGGGAATCCAATTTCTCCTTTTCTTTTTATTATTGCTATGGAGGATCTACATGTTGCTATGGAGGATGATGTAGTCCATGGGGTGTTTCGTGGTACTTCTCTTGGTTCTTTTGATGTCCTTATCTCTCATTTATTTTATGCAGAAGATGCTTTGGTTTTGGTTCTCGTGATGTCCTTATCTCTAGTTGCTGGTCCGAAAATCCCCACGCTATCATCATAAAATAACATCCAATTAATAATTAGATTCTGAACCAGAACTAAGAGTCTAAACTAGGGTAAAAGACCATTTTACCCTTTATCTAATTTGGCCCAAGGCCAAGGCCCAACCCAACTATTCAAAAAGACCAAATTCCAAAAATGGTCACCCAAACCCAATTATGGCCCAATCATCAAAATTGGGCCCAAATCCCTTCGTGGGCCTTCATCCAAAAGAATCCAACATAATGGCATCAACCCAAAAATAAAAACCTGATGGCCCAACAAGACCCTAATCTCCTAAGGTCTAAAAATGGCCTAAAACCGAGAAGCCTAATATCTGAAGCCCACCTGCTGAGTATGCGATGCGTACTCAGCTCGTACGCTTAGCGTACACCCTCTGGGGCTAGTACGCGCATTGTACCAGCTTGCTTCACCCAGCCTACTCCCTAGTTGACCACCCCACTTCATTAAGCACTTAATCCATTGAGACTTCAAGCCAAACTCTCAGATCTGATTCTATAAGACCACTTATCACGTAAAGTTGGCAACTTTGCACACATGCATGGCTTAATGGGGCTCAAAAGCTCAAAAAGAGCTTAACAAAGGTCTTAACACATGCATGGTTCAAGATACACCATAAAGATTGCATTTTTATGAATAAAGGGGCCAAAAGAAGCCTAGATCTAACACCAAAACTTCGAGAGTGAGTCAAGAAGTTCATCAATCACTCAAAGTACTCAAAAAGCATAAAATAAAAACATAACTAGATCTTGAATCATGGATCATCAAGATGTGAGCTTTTTACCTCAAAAAGCTTGCAAATGATGAGCTAACCCCGGATCTTCAAGCTCAAGACACTTCTCCAAATGGTATTCACCTTCACAAATCACCAACAAACACTCTTTAAGGCTCAAAACTCACAAACACACACTACGGTTATGATTTCTAGACAAAGGAAGGTGGAGGTTGGCTAAACATGACCAAATTAGGCTATAATAAGGTTTAAATAGGGTGAAAACACTAAAAATTAGGGTTTCACTAAAGCCCACGTACATCATGCATACTCAACATACGCCCATCATACGTGGATGGGATTCGCGATCACCTTCGGGCTAGTACGCTAAGCGTACCACCTAATACGCCCCGCTTACTAGCTTAAGGACCAAAATGCAATGTTTTTAGAAGAAAGTGTTAAATGCAAAACTTACCAACTAGATTGTTACACATTGTTGAAACATCTTTTCGTTGGTTTACTTTTCGTAATTCCAAATCTAGGATTAATTAGGTTGCATGGTCACAAAACCCTTTCATATATTAAATTGGTTCGTAGCTAGCTCTTGCTAGTCTTCTCGTTTTGGTTTAATATATTTGCTCGGCTATTGTTCAAATATATATATATATATATATATATAATATATATATATATATAAGTTATTTTCTTTTTGTAAAAGCCGAGATTTTTCTGTAATTTCATTTTTTAAGAAATTTTACTACTCAAAAGTTTGTTTTTTTGTTGTATATTAGTTAATGATATAACCAATGGTCATATATTGTTGTAAGTGATGTTAACACCATATCAAGAGACTGAAAATTACAGTCTAGGGATGAGAATTTGGCCCGAAAACCGAACCGAACCGAATTAGACCCGAATAAGCAATTTGATTCGGTTTTTAGGTATCTATATAAGGCTTAATTGGTTTTCGGGTTATTCGGTCCGGGTTACCCGAATAAGAGCTTATTCGGTCCAAAAGGACCGAACCCAATATGAAAAGTCATATTTTTCCCCCTTACACGATTGCTTCTTCGGTCTTGTGTTCTATCGATCGTTACCCAAAATACCCACGTAATACACCAAAAACATCAACAAAATCGATATTCGATCATCCAGTAGCGTATTACACCAAATCGACAGTAGCATATTACACTAAATCGACGACATTACTCTTTGATCGATTGAGGTTTTTCTCATCCTTGCGAGTTGCGTCTGCTGCCCTTGTGAGTTGCGATAACCTGGAATCTTTGATCGATCATCACTAGTTCAAAGTTCAAAGTCCATTCACGATAAGGAAAAAAAAATCGGCCCTTGCGTCTGGAAAAAAATCGTCTCCTCGTCCTCGTTTTCTAGTTTTATTGTGATCAAACTCCATTCAAGTCATAGAAAATTGGGTTCCAAATCAAGAAACTCAAGTAAGTATTTGTATCTTAATCTACTACTCAATCTTTCAATGTGTTATTATGTATGTTACTCATTGAAATTTGAATGTGTTAATCTATTACTCAATCTTTCAATGTGTTATTATGTATGTTATCAATTGAAATTTGAATGTGTTATGTTAACAGTTAACATTTTCTCTATAAGTCCATGCAATGGGGGACTTTGACCTTGAATGAGAACCTTGAATGAGAGAATTTAATGAAAACAACCATATATGTTCTTTTACTTGTTTCATTCCATATTGATGAATCTATTTAAATGTTAAAGAACCTATATTGCTATTCTATTATATTAAAATGATTTTGTTATTGTGATTTAGATTGATGATGAAGATGTGTTTGTTGATAACACTCAAGTTGAAGGAACAAGTCAAGCAACAAAGCCGAAGAAAAGGAAATATCCCCAAAGGACAGCTTGTTGAGCCGATTATGATGTAGTTCATATTGACAAAGTTAGACATAACAAGTGAAAAAACTATGGAACTTTGCTCAAAACCGAATCCGGCGGAAATGGTACTTCTAGTATGATTATCATACGGAAAGATGTAAAATGAACCCAAAAAAATTTAGAAAAAAAAAACTAGAAAACCAAACCACTTTAAATTTCAAAAAAAAAATGAAAACTGGGAGAATAGTATTTGGGTTATTTGGGTTATTCGGCTCCTTAATCATCTTGTACATGTTATTTGGGTTATTCGGGCCGGAACCGAACCGAAACGAACTGAATAATACTCGAACCAAACCAAACCCGTATTGCTTATTTGGTTCAGTTTTTGGTTTATTCGGTTCAAAAAGCTTGCAAATGATGAGCTAACCCCGGATCTTCAAGTTCAAGACACTTCTCCAAATGGTATTCACTTTCACAAATCACCAACAAACACTCTTTAAGGCTCAAAACTCGCAAACACACACTACGGTTTCGATTTCTGGAAAAAGGAAGGCGGAGGTTGGCTAAAAATGACCAAATGAGGTTATCATAAGGTTTAAATAGGGTGCAAACACTAAAAATTAGGGTTTCAATAAAGCCTATGTATGCCATGCGTACTCCACATACGCCCAACATACGTGGATGGGATTCGCGATCACCTTCGGGCTAGTACGCTAAGCGTACCACCTAGTACGCCCCGCATACTAGCTTAAGGACCAAAATACAAGGTTTTTGGATGAAAGGGTTAAATGAGAAACTTACCAACTCGATTGTTACACATTGTTGAAACATCTTTTCGTTGGTTTACTTTTCGTAATTCCAAATCTAGGATTAATTGGGTTGCATGGTCACAAAACCCTTTCATATATTAAACTGGTTCGTAGCTAGCTCTTGCTAGTCTTCTCGTTTTGGTTTAATATATTTGCCCTAATGTTGTTCAAATATATATATATATATATATATATATATATATATATATATATATATATATATAATATATATATATATATATATATATAAGTTATTTTCTTTTTATAAAAGCCGAGATTTTTTCTGTAATTTCATTTTTTAAGAAATTTTACTACTCAAAAGTTTGTTTTTTTGTTGTATATTAGTTAATGATATAACCAATGGTCATATATTGTTGTAAGTGAAGTTAACACCATCTCAAGAGACTGAAAATTGCAGTCCTTTTCTTACTCCTAACCCATAACATATGGAAATACATCACTTCCAACCCATGATTTTTGCTTCATATTATCATGGATATGATACAAGTGGAGAGAAGATAATAAAGAGTGAGCAACAGGTTAGCCAAATCGCTTAACCTACAAAAACCTTAGTAATACTCATTATTAATATTATTGACGACGGTGAGTGGAAAAACCGTCGTCCAAATCCTAGCCCTTAAAAACTCCTAAAACTTTCAATCAGAGCCGCATAAACTCTAATATGACGGTTGTTTGTAGTTCAGTCGATCCGGTTCATCTTCTTCTACTCATGATTACATCTCTACCCACGACTGCGTCCATGCCGGTAACTGTTGCATCAGTTCGTCCTCATTCGCCTATAAATTGATGGTCGTTGTTAGATGTTTACAGCTTTCAATTGGTAAAAAAAGGTTGCTTTAGTTGATCCTATGGCTTCCAATTCGTCTGACATACCTTCACCTAAGGTAAAAGTTCAATTGTTTAATCGATTTCTATTCTTTGTATTTCATTGAATTTGTTTGTTTCAATTGGTAAAAAGAATTGATTCGTTTGATTTTATGGTTTGCAATTCGTCTGTTGTTTCTTCACATAAGGTAAACTTATTGTCTTTGTAATCGATTCCTTTGATTTTTACTTCATTGTATATTCAACTTCGATGTATAGTTGAAGTTAAAGTTCATTTATGTTTCAAATTTCGAATTCATATGTATTAACAATTGTGTTACGTATACTTTTTATGTAGAACTTTGAAGATGTTGATGGAAAGGTCCATCCACCATCAGAGGTATCAAAATCGACATTTTATCTTAATGATTCCAATTCCTCTGACATATGTTCACCTAAGGTAAAAAATTCAATTCTTCAATCGATTTCTATCCTTTGTACTTCATTGCATTTGTTTGTTTCAATTGGTAAAAAGAATTGCTTCGTTTGATTTTATGATTTGCAATTCGTCTATTGTTTCTTCACATAAGGTAAACTTATTGTCTCTGTAATCGATTGCTTTGATTTGTACTTCATTGTATATTCAACTTCGATGTATAATTGAAGTTAAATTTCATTTATGTTTCAAATTTCGATTTCATATGTATTAACAATTGTGTTCTTTATAATTTTTATGTAGAAATTTGAAGATTTTGATGGAAAAGTCAATCCATAATCAGAGGTATCAAAATCGACATGTCACTCTGATCCTGATAGTGTTGAAATAATCGACTTAAGTGTTCACTTCAGTCCCTATAAATCCCAGTTGGAGAGGGTGATTTCGGAAGAGGTAAAGATTTTATGAGTTTTGTTTTCAGATACATATGCATGTAAAGTTCTTTTTCCCTTTCAGGTTTCTTTAATTGCCAAAGAATAGGAGAAGTTGTCAAGAAAAGAAAAAAGGAAGTTGGCTTTGTTATGTTGGAAGTGGGAATAAGTTGTAGATCTATGTGAAGATAAAGAGTTGGGTGTGGATCTACCATTCAAACCACTGAAAAAGAAAGTGAAAGTTTCCATTGAATCTCGAAATCGAGTCATGAAACTTTTTGATGAATCAGATGTTTATGAGTGATTTAGTCTTTATTTTGTTTTTTTAGTTGTATTGTTCTTTTGAATTTGCTGCAGTTAGTTGTTATTTGTTTTCATGAATGATTGTTTCTAAGTTTTTAAATTGTAGTAAAATGTTGTTTATGTTATTTCAATTCTCTTGCTATCAATTCAGGTAACCTACTTTCATTATCAACTTACTTCAACAGCTTTTATTTCCTTTAATACTTTTTACCCCTCATGTATCATTTATGATTTCGGACCATTTTACCCCTACTGCCCCCAATTGTATTGTAATTGTAATGGATAGTGTTGGTAATACATCTCTTGATTGAAGTGACTTTGATTTACCCTCAACAATACTCATATTTCAGAATGTTTACCCATAAAGGTATTTTGTAACTTTTATTTGTTTATTTTAGGAAAGTGGTAGGGCAGGGAGGGATAGGCTTCCTTATGAATGTTTACTTTACTTTAGGCATGCTGCTGTCCGAAGATAGGCATGAATTGTTGGAGGATATTTCTGTCATTTATATAATATCAAACACTCACCATTCTGTATTTCTCTTTACAGAGCTCCATGGTCTTCTATGAGAATTGTGGGTTGCAGAATCTATATGAAATGGTGCGATTTTTGTCAGCTTTGTATTCTTTTACACATGTCAGTGATCTTTCCTTATTATTTTTTATTGTAAAATGTAAATTATTATTATTATTATACTATATTTTTTAAATTTCAGCGTAAAAGATAATGCAGTTGAAGTGCTTTCTTTAGACATTTTGCTGAGCCTCTTCAAGAATGCAATGGTATTTACTATTTATATTTCATCATCATCTAATTATCATTATTAGGTAAATTAATTATTAAAATATTTACTCTTGTGGATTTTTACAAGAGCAGGAATCTGTGATAACCGTGCCTTTTCTTTTTATCCTTAATCTATTAAACTATATATATATATATATATATATATATATATATATATATATATATATATATATATATATATATATATATATATATATTTGTATCTATTAAGTCCATTAAGTCAAAAAGAAACAAAACCTAAGTCCCAACTTTTTACATATATGCCCTCATTTATTTCAGGACATACAAAAGCTATTATATCTTTGGTACAAGAAATACAAGAAAATGATCAGAGAGCAACAATGTTACAATTGGTTGACAAGTTAAAGGTTAAAAATAAGGAATTAGGTCAGTAATACACATATCATATCCCCACAATTATTATTATTATTATTATTATTATTATTATTATTATTATTATTATTATCTATTTTTATTAAACTTTTATACCTTTTAGGGTTTGCGTTAAAGAATGATGAATTAGAGCAACTTGTGATTCAACTTATTCTCCACAGGGTATTGGTAAGTATAAATGTATAATCAGCTATACCCATTTAAAGGCCTTAAAAACTACACTTCTGGTATCATCCACCATGTTCAACTTACAGGTCAGTTTCTAAAGGCTTCAGTTTCTTGATTTTCATATAGTAAACGAAATCTTAAATCTTAGTTTATGAATCTTGCAGGGTTGTCTCCAGATACTGTTTATTACTATCGATATGGAGAAAAGCAATGAGTGGTGTTTTTCAATTCAAGACTATGCCTGTTTCTGGCGCTCAAAATTATAAAAAAAATAGGAATTGTGGGTGATCTTGGTCTTACTTATAATACAACATCAACAGTGGGCCACCTCATCCAAAACCAACCTGATCTTGTGCTTCTTGTAGGAGATGCAACTTATGCTAACTTGTATCTAACAAATGGCACTGGTTCAGATTTCAATTCTGTTCGTTTTTAAATACTCCTATTCACTGGACTTATCAACCACCTTGGGATTTCTAGGAAGGTAAAAGTTTGAATCTTTATCGAATCTTGATGCTAAAGTTGTAGGCTTTTGTTCTTGAAGATGTTGAAGAGTGATTTTGAGTGAATTATTTCAGGTTTTAAGATACATGTGCATGTAAAGTTCTTTTTCCCTTTCAGGTTTCTTTAATTACCAAAGAAGAGGAGAAGCTGTGAAGAAAATAATAAAGGAAGTTGGCTTTGTGATGTTGGAAGTGGGAAGAAGTTGTAGATCTATGTGAAGATGAAGAGTTGGTTGTTATTTGTTTTTATGAATGAATGTTTCTAAGTTTTTAAATTTTAGTAAAATGTTGTTTATGTTATTTTAATTGTCTTGCTATCAATTAAGGTAACCTACTCTCATTATCAACTTACTTCAGCAGCTTTTCTTTCCTTTATTACTTTTTACCGCTCTTGCATCATTTATGATTTTGGACAATTTTACCCCTACTACCCCCAATTGTAATGTAATTATAATGGATAGTGTTGGTAATAAAGGGATTATGTACTTATCAATAAATACGGATGAAGTTGTATCTACATCATTTTTGTATGCTCAAGAAGTTGTGTTCAAGATGAGCTCTCAAATTCTAACTCGCGACGAAATTATACATATAACAGGAATGTCATATTTTTAACCCAATAAAGGCCTTAATAGCATTATACTTATTTTCAAAACAAATTATGTTATTCTTCTTATTTAAGCATTATACTTTCAAATATAGCATCATACTTTAATGTTTTTTTTCTTATTTACAATAAAAAAATATGTTTTTTTATTGTAACATATTCCTAATTGGTTTTAATGATTTTGGACTGTTTTACCCTTCCTGCATCGTTTATGATTTTTGACCATTTTACCCCTCCTCCCCCTATTTGTCTTGAAATGCTTATGTGTTGCCAAATAAAATATGAATAAGAAAAAAAAAAGCATAATTTTTTTTTTTGAAAATATGATGCTATATTTGAAAGTACAATGCTTAAATAGTTAAATGTTTTACCTTTAATTCAAATACATAAGTGGTATATCTATTATTGAACATTTGTTGGAGATGTGCAGTTGTTTTATATATCTATTATTCTATATTTCATCATGACTTGATTTTTAATAATCCTAATAAAAATTTTGGTGAAAAAAAAAAACGTTTAGAATCCGTAAAATCAAAATACATGTAATCTTTTTGTACGATTATAACGGATTCCTAATTCGTTTTAATGATTTGGACCGTTTTACCCCTACTTGCATTTTCAGTGTTTTAGCTTACAGGTAATTTTGGTTTTTTGTTGTAAAAAACACTAATAAAAAAAATAAAATCATTTAACCTATTTTTTACCTACTAAATTCAATTAAGTAGTTACAGAGGCTTAAAAATATAAGAGATTTGATGAGGGAAATTCAAATGATAGGTTTTGCTTTTTTCTTTTGTTGTTTTTATCTATTATTTGTTTATTTAAATGTTATTTATATGAATAAAAAAAACATTGAGGGCAATAATGGAATTTGCATTGGTAACGTGATTGGAGTTTACGAAAAAATGGGATTAAAGTTGTGGGGTAGTGTATTTAACCGTTTCTTCTTTAACCTGTTACATCATATTTCCTTTGCACGTTCATTCTATAACTTGGGATCAAATGAATTATGTCCATTGTAGCACATCGAAACATTCTCTGTCTCTATAGGTTCCTTCATTCTGCTTCAATTAGTCGGGTTTTCTGAAACTGGAACACATAAAAGGGTGATACAAGGTTTCAACTTCATATTAGCTATTACTTTCCTTTTTATGTTTGTTTATATCTTGGTAAGTGTTATATGCGACAAAAATATGATTTTTGTGAAATTGGATAAGTTGGGTCGTTTAACCATTGAAATATTGTATTGCTTTTTCAACTTTATTTAGTATGTTTGTTGATTTTGTTGGTTTGTTGGTAAGTAAAACGTGTTACATAAAACAAAATTAGATTATTTTGCCACATTTTGTTTGTTCTTGAGTAAAATTGTAGATGAATTTATGTTTTAATTTATTTTGATGTAAGATGTTTGCTATACAGGTTATCTTTTTCTTTCTGAAACAATGTAGCATCCGACTCCTGGTACGTATTTTTATTCAAGTAATTATCACATTTTGGTCTGGGACTCGGCGAGTTGGAGGCCCAACTCGTCGAGTAGAATCGACTTTGGACACGGGGGTTTAGTGACCTACTCGAAGAGTCGGAAGACCGACTCGGCGAGTAGGAGCTGTCTAGACAAAACCCTAATATTTAGGGTTTGCACCCTATTTAAACAACTTACCATCTCCCCAACCAGCCTCCATCGTCCCTCTTACTTCCAGAAGGCCCTAAATCGAAACCCTAGCTGTGTTTGAGTATTATTAAGCCATTTTTGTGCATTTGGTGGTTGTGAAGCTTGAAGAAGAAGGAAGGAGCTCGAGAGATAGAGTTGAGGCTAGTGGATCCAGAGGTTGTGTTCCATCTCCAGTTCATATAAGGTAAAAAGCTCCAGCCTTGGTCTTCCATTTGATAGATCCATTTTAGGGCTTGGAACTTGACATCTTTGGGACATTTCTAAGCTATTTCGGGTTCCAGAGCATAGTGAAGGGTAAAGGCTCCAGATCTTGGGCCTTGAAGGGTCCTCATGGCATAAAGGTGCCAACTTTATGGCCATGAGAGCCCCATGCACCTTGTAGACCTCATTTTAGGGTCTTTTGAGCTTAAAGACCCATGCATGGACATCAAGTTTTTAGCTTTACATGAAAAAAGGGCCCTAGGAGGCCAGATCTATATTTTAGATGCATTAAGACCCATTATAATCGACTATATAGTTTTGGACAAAGAGGGACTCGGCAAGTCACTTGGGTGACTCGGCGAGTCGGGATGCTTTTTCCCCAAAATCGTCTTCTGGAAATGGTTTTGGTTGAGTCGAAGGAACACTCAGCCTGCTAAGGGTTTGTTTTGGACTTGGAAATCATAGGACTCGACGAGTGTATGAGCAGAGTCAGTGAGTCTAAGGCAATCTCCCAACCCATGAGGACGGACTCGACGAGTTGTTCATACAACTCGGCGAGTCACAGACTAGACAGACTCATATGAGGAAGCTAAACTCGACGAGTTCAAGGAAGAACTCGGCGAGTCAGTTGAAGATTGTCCCAATGTTATGATTGAAGGAGAACTTGTCGAGTTCTTGCTAGACTCGATGAGTAGAGTCGAGTTGGGGGCAGATAATGGAATAGGGACTCGACGAGTTGGCGGGCCTACTCGGCGAGTCGAGCCAACTGGAGGTTGACTTTGACATTGACTTTGACTTGGGTTTGGGTTTGGGTTGACCCTTGTAAGGGTTATTAGTATTCATAGTAATCGAGAAAGATCGTTTTGTAGGGATTGAGGAGTCGAGACGAGTTGATACATGTGCCGAGGACTGTGCGACTACTACACGACATCGAGGTGAGTTACCTTCCAGTAGAAGTGGGTCTAAGGCACCAAGGCCGGCCCACTAGTATGAGTTATAGTTGAGATGATTGTCTTTGTGATAATTGTCTGGTATGTGTTATATGTTATGATTATGTGCTAGTATGCTATGATGCTATGTGTTATATGATAGTAGGGGTAGGATACACCCCGGTACTGGTCAAAAGG